TACCCTTGGTCTGTGCCAATGGTGGACGTACCGGCGGACATGATGCTGTTTGTTCATCTGTGTCCATCCGCAACCTCCGAAATTGAGACCCCTCTCGTGTGCATATGCCTGCACTCGCTGTTCGATATCGACAGCCCCGTCTGATCAGCGGCGCTGTTTTACGGTCGACACCGAGTTGTGGAGTCATTGTGTCCATGGGATCGTCTCTTTATCCCCCGATAATGGCTTTTGCCTCCAAAGGTTGTGTGTGATTGCTCTACAATCAACTGGACTTTCAATAGTCTCCCACATCATTTTTTTTTTCCCGTCTGGGTCATTCGTGTTTTGTCACGCAAAATGGACACCATATGGTTACATGTTGTCTGCCATGTCCCACACACACTACATACTCCGAGAGTACAGCGTTTCGCAATTTGCGCTTGGATGATATTGTACATCCATCACATTCCTTCATGGAGTCGCACCGCTTTCGGTTGTGGCCTCAGGGTGGCCCCTAGCCTGGCTGGGCTTCATGCCTCATAGTCCTTTACCCCTGCGCCAAGTTGTGTGAGCCCCCACCTCGCTCGTACGGGCTCCACCACTTGCAAAGTGGGGTGGCTGTCAAGTGGGCGCACTTTGCAGGGTGTTGTCACCCGCACTTCAGAGGGTGTGTCCTCATATGTGCGCTTCGGTATCTGACCAATCAGGGACCACCTCGTAGCTAGTCAGTAGGGTGTGGGAGTGCCCCTACACCACTCATCCTAATCCACTCTTCGTTTCTTCCTGTCGTGCGTCTTGCCCTCTTGGACACCTCGCTCAACTCGGTTCTTACCCTCGGACTCGTTGTCCCACCTTCCTCTAAGTGCTTGGGCCTACTTTGCCCCTCCTAACAATATCGGCCAAATACATCAGGCATTCGTCCAACTTACAGTTAACGTTAACTACAAAATGGTGTACCAGTAGTATCTTACAGTTAGACTGGTTGATTACGTTGTAAGTACTGTATGTATATACTCTACTACTGTAGTACTGCGAAGTACGACGTAGTACTTCAGAAGTATGTAGGAAACCTAACGTTAATAATGGAATACTTATTATTTAAGCACGCTAGCTCATGCAAATACTTGGATGTAATACCGGTAGTCATACTAACGTTATGAACTACGTAGAGTGACTGAGCCCATATAGGAAGCGGTTCTCGGCTTTCTTCATCATCGATTCAAAGATACACTTCACCGAATGTGCAAATCCGACGACGAGTGGAATCGTGTACATCATTGCAAGCAAAAAACAAACCCACGCGTCGTTAGACAGGTGGCATTTGCAATCACTTTCGCAGCTGAAGCTATCGTAACGGGTAGCGACCACAATCCCCAATGCCAGCGCGACAAACAACGCGACTGAGTTGACCAAATCACAAAACATCGCGAAACCTATGTGTTCAAAGACAATGATTGGAAAAATCTAAATCAACGAATACTATTTAATATTGGTAATTCGATTTCAAAATGGACTGGGGCTGCCAATCGAATCGACGAAGCAAAATCAACGCAGTAATCGATGGACCGAAGTAGCCAATGAAATTTCGAAAAAAGACCTATCGACCAATCAAATTGCAGGTGGGTGTATTCGGTGCATTGCCAAGCTTTTCCATTTCACAAAAAGTTCAACCGACAGTGAGTATATTTAGTGGTCAAGTAAAATAATTTCAGGTGGATTTGAACGTCATTCGTCGAATCTACCGAAAATAGTACCAAATTTTGCTTGAAAGCACAGTACTACTTCACGACAACGTACGCTGATGCCACAACATGTGCTTTAAACACCGCGGGATGTCCACCAGAACGTGGACTTTCTTGACATTGGCATTCGCTTGGAAGGCGAAGTCGACGTTGTCCATTTGAGCCATCCAGTCCATGGGTACTTTCATCAAACCCTTGACACCGTCGGAAATGCGACCCCGCTTGAGTTCCAGTGCGTTTGGTCCACTGGCCTCCAAGAAGTTGCCTCCCGACAATTTCGCGACATAGAGGTCCAACTGATCGATATGACACGTCAGCCCACGCTCACCCTTGATGAGCTCCTTGAGGTACCACACACGTTCGTCGGCTTCGATTTCCACAATGCAGGTGCTCCCATCGCCAATAAATGCGCATGTCACCCGTTTTATCTTGGCTTCGTCATGTTGGCCGATATTGTTGGCTTGGCCTCTGGCGCTGGGGTAGGTTTGGCCTGTTGGGCTTCTTTCGATCTCGATGGTGGTGTTGGGTTCGTCGTGGATGGCGAGTCTGTCGCTGAGGTTGGTTTGGCCGCTCGGGTTGGTTTGATCGCTTGGGTGGGATTCGTCGCTGGCGGTAAGTCCATCGCTGGGGTTGTTTTCGTCGCTCATGGTGAGTCCGTTTCTGGAGATTGTTAGACCGCTGAGGTTGGGTTCGCCGGTGGTTTTGGTGTCGTCACATGTATTGAGTCCGTCGCTGGAGTTGGGTTGTGGGTAGGTTTGACTGTCGGGGTTGAGTTGGCCGCCGATATTGGGAAACGTGTTCGCGTCGCGGGTGTGCCGTTCCACGCTCGTTCCAACCCTTTGGGCTTCCCGTTTTTGTTGGGCCCGCCGCTTCTTTTGGGAGGGTCGCTGATGGCTGCTTGTGTTGACAGTGAGTTCGCCGCTCATGTCGAAATGGTTAATGATGAGTTAGTTCATGACCATCATACTACGGAGTATTCTTTAACATTGGTCACTTCAACATCGAGTTCTGGCCGATTAGGACTCTTTCAAGACTCTGACGACATTCTATTGGCTGCCCAACTTTGAATGACGTCAAAGGAAGGTTGATGCTTCTTGTACTTGTACAACGTTGTGGGAAATACTTGGTTATGCATGTGAAGTACGACATGATGATGAGCGTCTAAAGTGCTTGCCCAATTCGCATTCTCAGAAGTTGGTCGCAAACCTGCACGGGGATAGGGTTTTATGACGTGCATTGTGCGTTAGCTGTACTCGGCGTCTCAAATGTTCGCCTTTCCATGCCATACTAGTAAGTGTTAACTGTGGTAGGACATAACTCCCACACCAATATTATCAAGTTGATTGCATGGCGCGCCAGTATTCATAACTGTTAGTCGATGTACTAGTATGTACTCTGGAGCGGTGTACGACTAACTAATCACTCAAACCCAAACATACCCACGACGTCCTCCTAGAGAACGTCGTGGGTAACAGATGAATTCCGCACGAATATATGTCCTACCATTAACAGAATATAACACTACAATTTGCGTTTTGATACTTTTAGGAAATTAGCATACTAGAGCCACCTCACCTCGTACTAGGGGAGAACTGCACC